ACACACACACACACACACACCTTGCTCATCCTGTTTGCGCCTTTGCAAAATGACGCCTTCACGGCTCAAGGGAAAAAAAACACAATTACCTGAGATGACAGAAAACGTCTAATATTACAATACTGAATATTGTATTGGATGAGTACTTTGACTATTTTTGCCTGTGACACATCCATCACAACAATCTACCAGCACACCAGGGCCATGGATGAGACTGAAAGAAAAGAATAGTTTTTATGATAGTTTGCTTTGTGATTTTGACAGGATTTCTGCTTTATTGGACACTTGTTTCTATTTATGCCAATTAAAACTCATTGTAAATACACCCTGATATTGTTTTACTGTATATTTTAGTAATTATTTTAACAATGCGAAAGATTAGTTTAAATGATCATTAAAAGAAAAATTCTGTCACCACAGTGTAAAAAAGACAGTGTTCTTGTTGTTGGTTTTCTTTCCACATGTTCCTCAACAAGGATAAATCAGGTGATCGTTACCTGCGGGTACAGTTTCGGTGCTCCTAAGTAGGACTCTCCGCTGAGCTCCTGAACGCACCACGACAACTCCAGAGGAGGAGAGGAAGAAGAGGAGGAGGAGGTGGAGGGAGGCAGACCGAGGGGAAGCATGAAGAACATCCCCGGTATCTGAGCTGACAGACGGGGAGAGCATCTCGTCCTCTCTCGCTCGTTCAGGGGCCGACTGGAGGCGGCGGGAGGCTGCGGACAGGATGGAGGAGAAGAATCCGTTTCTTTGCGGGGTGGTGGAAGGTAAGAGCGGCCGACTGAATGACTGACCTCCAGCTACATCACGTGCTTTGCTCTCTTCTTTCTCCTCACCTCGGAGAGTTGATTTCGAACAGACCACCGTTTGACCTACATTTGCAAACCGATGTTTTGTCACCGACTGCAAGGGGGGGGGGGGGATCTGTGAATGGAGCCTGACGTAGGTGGAGGATGTAAAGGTCCTGATGAGATGATGTGGTGGGGATCAGTCAGCCGTGAAGTGGAGAGCAGGCGGTGAAAAGCCTTCAGTCATGTCTGGTTCAAAGGCTGCAGCCTGAGGGGAGGAAGGACCACGATGAAGAACATGATGAGGATGAGGATGGTGATAAAGATAGTGATGATGAGGAGAAGGATAATGACCATAAAGGTGGAAATGGTGATGAAGAAGATGAAGATTTTGATGACAACCTAAAGGTGAAGATGGTGATGGTGATGAGAATGATAACAACCATCAAGGTAAATGTGGTGATGAAGATGATGATTATGGCTGCATACGTTTTGGGGGATGACATGACAGCAACAATGATGATTGTGGAAACAGCTACTGAGGATGTGAGTACGAAGGCTGTAATTAAAGATGATGAAACAATGAAAGGAAAGAATGAGGGAGAAGAAGGAGATGAAAGAAGAAGAGGAATATAAGTCAAGTGTTTTAACATAAGAGGATGGGCATGAAGAAAAGGAGAATAATGAGATATCAAATGTCAAGTTAATAGATTCGTGCTGTCAAGACAAAACCCCATAATATCCTAATCCTTAATCATAAATCAATGAAAAGCAGCAAACTATCACAATTTAGAAGGTGGAACTGAATGTTTGGCATTTTTGTTCTTTTTAATTACTTAAATGATGATTGATTATTAAAATAAATTCACTATGGTCACTATGACCCACCTACAGTACACACACGTGAACACACACACACACACTTCAAATTCAAAAAGACATGGTGGGAGAAGGACCGTTGGGATGCTCCCATTTCTAAGAGTGCAGCTGGAGATGAATTATATCTCACACAGAGGTCACGTGACCCAGTTAGCTCTGCAGGAGCTCTCGTTGCTTTATACACTCATACATACACAGTTGTGAAGCTACAATGTCGGCCAACGGCACCACGTAGCTGATAGATGTGCAGTAAAGGCTGCAGAGGTTTTATTCATGTCCATGGTGCATCCTCAGTGAAAATGAATTAATCTGTCTGAACAGGAATCGTAACATTTGCAGCAAAGATCACATTAATAGTTTAAATCGGATTCCAGGCTTACACACACGACAGCATGTGAGTGTGCACATAGAACTCTAGAAGCAGGTCCCCCGTGTGACTTTGTAGAACTAGTCAGTGCTGTACAGCTTCACTCACTGCATCAGTAATGTGTCACTTTTATGTTTTAACTCCAGGATTCTACGGGAGGCCTTGGTCTATGGATCAGAGGAAAGTTCTCTTCCAGTGGTAAGTGTGTCAGCATGCACTCTCATCAGCTGTTAATTAACCTGGCGTGGGTTCGGTGTGTGATCACAGGTAGGGCATAGGCTCAGGAGCCACTGATCTGACATCTCGGGGCTAAACCCAGAGTCACATGTTTATTCCAGCCGCAGGCAGCCCAGAGAGAGATCACTGACACAGAATGACACCGTAGCAAAGGGCAGACTCATCCTTCGTTCTGAGGCTCAGCCATGGAGGACAGGAGGATAATAAATGAGATATTGCTTTTAGCCTCGCAGCTGCAAGGCTGGTACAGTCGTTAAAACACTTTGGTCCAGATTGGAGAATGAAATCGACTAGAATTTCATTCAGTAGATCACATTCCTCCACCAAATGCCTGATTTGTGTACAAGCGCTCAATAAACTGCGTGATACTGAATTTTCAATTTTTTGATGTTCAGTATCTTTAAGTTTGTCCAATAATAACAGAGAAACAATCAGTCTGTTTTTACCACTCTCATGAACATGATATCTCAAGGGAATCTCTTCAAATTTGCCACAAACTGAACTGAGTATTTTGGTGGTCAAAGGCTAAATGTCAAGGTCACAGAGAACTCAAATTCTTGTCAGCGTGGTTTATATTAGGAAGTAGAATGGTACTCAGTAGAGCGCTTACCTCCTCCAAGGCCCCATTGCCTCTTAATGTGCCTGATAGTTTTCATCAAGATCAATGAATCTTTCCCTGAGAGAACAATGCAAATGTTGAAACACGTGATATCTCACATTAAAATGAACACTTTTTTTCTGATCCAGATCTGCACCAAACTGTTATCCAATCTTTTTTAACCCAAACCACATTCTTCCACCGAGTTTCATGGTAAACCAATCAGCTGCTTATGTGTAATCTTGCATACAAATCAACTAACAAACAGACAGACAGGCAGTGAAGACATAACCACCTCGGCAGGTAAAGAAGACACGTCATCATGTCAGCCACAAACGTCCACACGGACTTAAGGATGACCTGAGTAGATATTGGGAGAGTGTCAAAGGTCAAAAGTCAAGCCAAATCAAACCATTGAAACTTTTCAGACAAATGTCTAATTAGATCAAATAATAATGTGATGACATTTCATAACCAAAAGGTCAAAGGTCATTATGACATATCATTAAAAAGTACTTTTCTTGTCCATACTCAACAACACATTCATATTTCCTGCATCTGGTTGGTAGAGGTATGCAAGGCAGTTACTCTAGTCTTACTGTCATTGATACAGTATATAGAGGATTATTGGTCTCTTAACCTCGACTGAGGTAAGTCTACTGAGCTTCAAGCTCTTTATATCCTTTATATAGCAACAACATTGTTCTTTCCATGAAGCGACCTTCACACCAGGGAGCTGCAGGGAGTCTCCACCCATTCAGTGCTTGACTCTTTCTTCTGCAGATCACAACAACAAAAACAACGTCTAATGTAAACCACATAAAATCAACACTCGAGATGATCAAATGTCGTCTTCAGTACGAGAGCTACAAGAATCAGCAATAATCCAATGTAAAGGAAACAGGGTCATGAGCCGAGTCTCCTTTTGACTCAACAACACAAAGGCTGCTCCTCACTGAGCCCGCAGCAGCATTTTACATTAACAGTTCATCATCAGCTCACAAAGAAAGAATCAGCATGAATCAGCTCTCAGGCATATCCATTACACAAAGGATTATTTCAAAGGGCCATTTAAAGCATCTGCAGGCATTTACATTGAGTCATGTGTATACGTCTTAGTTATAAGAGAACCAGTTCTGATACACTGATCTATGAGATATATTATGAGTGGAACCTGATAAATCTCTAGTGGGAGCTGTGACACACTTTTATAGTTCAACAGCCAATAGACACAGCCGACTGTATCCCCAGAGATTTGTTGTTCCCTCTGCCTTCTGCTTTCCTCTGCTCTTAAATATACAGAGTCAACAATTATACTGCAGCATTTCTTCTTCAATTATAAGGATTTGATTAGATTCGGTACAATAAGATAAGATATGATAAGATATAAGATATGATATATGGATATAGTTTCATTTTCAAATATTTGTAATAAAAACATAATCTGATCAACTATGGTAGAGACACTAACATGTCCATAAACATGTTTTCTTTTTTAGTTACATGATGTTGTCTATCGCTACAGATGCAGCTACACTGTTGCACAGACCATCGCTGTTTAAAGAAGATGCTGTGAGGATGAATGTGACTTCCAAACTTTGTTAGTGTGGCAGCAGCTGAGCGTGTGGGCTCCAGGTTTATTTTTAGATTCGCTTTTTTAGACTCGAGTGTGGGGTGCCGGCAAAATTCACCGAGTGTTGCATAAGTTCGGCAAAGCAGAGCTGTGGATGTGGCTACAGGACAGTTGGTGTGTGTGTTGGTGTGCGTGTGTGTGTTTGAGAGAGGTGAGTTGCTGCTTTGTGGAGGCGACTTATGTACCATCTGTCCAGGAAATGAGGCACAGAGAGAGAAAGGGAGAGAACACAGTCCTCCCACAAATGACTCGAAAGACAAGAACTGGTCCATGTCCAGATAGAGAGAGAGTCATGTTTTTATACTGTGTGTATGTATGCATGTGTGTGAGAATGCACGCTTATGTTGATGTTGTTTCACTCCTAGTACTAGGCTCTATTTATAATTCAGGAGGTCATTTCCTGTAACTGAGGTGGCCATGGAGCGCTGCGATCGATAAACTGGATCTATTTTCATGCTGTTTGTTGTTTTCCTGTTTTTGTCCCTCCTCCTCTTCTTTTCCTGGCCTCATTCATTCATTCTCCACTCTTCTCTGTCTCTCCAGGAGTCCCAACCTGGCAACAAATACAGAGATATTAATTATATTTTACAAAGTGTTCATAGAATGAAATTTAGAATAATAAGGCAATTTTAGAGGAGAGTATAAATTAAAAACTAAACAAAATGTGAGCTGCAAAGTAGAAATAATGACAAATGTGTGAATTAGAATAATAATAAACTGAAATAAATTATTGAAAATAGGTTTGATCTGAATGGAGAAATTATTTAGTAAGAGATAGCACATTGTCTAAGACTGACGCTTTTCCTAATGCTGTTGTCGTTGTCCACCAGGATGCAACACTGGGGGCTGAACACCTACCTGTATGGTCCGAAAGATGACCTTAAACACAGACTGTTGTGGAGAGAAGTCTACTCCCCTGAGGAGGAGGGTAAGGACACACCATTAACTCATCCGTCAGTCTGTGTAATACTAAAATCAATGGGGTACCTCAGTACTACAGTAGTAATTGGTTATAACCAGAACTGTGGTGGGACATTTTGTTTCCATCAAGGTGATAATACATTGTCTCAAATATGATGTAGCCCTGGAATTACTTAAAATGGTTTCTTTATACATTTACAGTGTATTAAATCAGGCAAAAAGTTGAGTTTTTCTACTAAACTCCCCTCACATCATTTTCTATCACTTTAAATAGAAGCCTATATTTCTCTTTTATTTCGTCCTGTGTTTCTTATTTTGTCTCACTTTAAATTTAAAATTCAAGATCTTTTTTCTCTCCTCTCAGGTCAGTTGCGTACTCTCATAGTGGAGGCCGAGTCGAGAGGCCTGAGGTTCGTTTACGCCCTCTCTCCTGGTCAGGACATCGTCTTTTCTTCTTCCTGTGACATGACACTGCTCAAACGCAAGTTGAGACAGGTACATGTATATAAAGCATGCAAGAAGATACTCAATACAACTGAAATGTAATTGTTGCATGGTTTGACCTATAACCTCTGTTCCTTAAATATCTCATTTATAACCCCATCTCTCTCCAGGTATCAGACCTGGGTTGCCAGGCCTTTGCCATTCTGTTTGATGACATCGATCACTCCATGTGTCAGGCTGACAGCGAGGCCTTCTCTTCATTCGCCAATGCTCAGGTCAATGTAACCAATGAGATGTACCGGTTCCTGGGGGAACCACCCGTCTTCCTCTTTTGCCCAACGGGTAGGACTGGTCGTTGAGATGTGTGCTCTACAGAATGTAAAAAATCTGTTCATTAATCTCAGTGAATCAACATGACTCTCTCTGTCTCTTCCTGTAGAATACTGTGGTTCTCTGTGTTCTCCCAGTGTATCTAAGTCTCCCTACCTGCAGACTGTTGGAGAGGACCTACTGCCCAACATAACAGTGATATGGACAGGTGAGAAACAAATACAAAGCTGTATTCCTGCAGACACACAGCAGGATCTTTAAGTATTGTAGTATTGTTTTGATTTATGATTTTTTTTAACCTCATTAGTTGACCTGCAATTTGGTTCACACAAATCCACATACAACCTCCTCAGACTGAAAAACGGCAGTAGAAACGCACGTCAAAATTAGAGCAGAATGACAATATGTCATGTTGCACATTTAGTGACCTAGCTTGCAAACTTTTAAACTCCCTGGGCATTGCCTTCTTGGTGAATTGTAGATTTTGGATCTGCAACCTTTTTGCAACATTTCTTTCCAACTTTCTGAGAAGGAAATTTAATTGGGAAATTACTTACAGGCTGTTGACTCCCTCAGACTTGTGTGTTTCTCCGAATTTTTTCCTTCTTCTTGCCAACAGGAAGTAAGGTTATTTCTAGGAAACTGTCAGTAGACTGCCTGGCAGAGGTGGAGTCTGTCCTGCAGCGTCCCCCGCTCATCTGGGACAACCTACATGCAAATGACTACGACTCCAGACGTCTCTTCCTGGGGCCTTTCAAGGGTCGGGAGACCCGGTTGAGGAGCCACCTAAGGGGCCTGTTGCTGAACCCGAACTGCGAGTTTGAGGCCAACTATATCCCACTGCATACGCTGGGGAGCTGGTACAGAGCTGGGGAAGAGGAGAGGAAAGGTGAGGGGAGTATGAGACAGGAAATGTCTTCTTGCCGTTAATGATTGACTATTGTCTCTGCCAGACAACAGTCATGGACATTTAGTCTCATTGCTTCAGCAGACACGTCTAATAAGCCTGTGTTGCTGGGCAACAAACACAATTTTATCCAGCAGAAAATAAAATTACTCTAATATTACTTAATTACTATATTGTCTTCCTCCACCTGTTGTCCTGGACAAAGACACTCTGTGCTTTTAACTAAAGTTTCACAGAAAATATAAAAATATTCCCCAAACACTGAATTGCACCAGTTTCATTTATCTTCATGTTCTCTAAAAAAGTGACAGAACTTGTTTAAGAACATCCCTATTATTTGAAGTATGGTCCACTTCAGACCTCTGTAATGGTGGAGCTGCAACAGCCCTTGCATCACCTTAATTTGACATTAGGTTCATATTCATTGTACTTAATATACAGTACACTGACATTTAAAAAAACAAAACAAGCCAGTGCAAGAAGGAGTGAACAAGGGAGTTGGATGGGAACTTGCAGGAGAGAAATCATTGTGGCGTGCAAAATTTCTCTGAGGACTAAGTGGAGGGAGAGACAGTGATAGAGAGTAATTGCATTGTGTGATGAAGGAAGAGATGAGAAGAGAGAAGGGTCCCTCTGTGAAGGAGAAACAAGGTGCAGGCTTTAAGGAAAAATAAATGAAGGGCAGGTTGTATGTGTCTGTATGTATCTAATAAATATCAAATTAAGTAGGTATGGGTAGGTCTGCCCACCTGATTGATGATGTAAGTGGTTTTCTGTATTGTGCACTGTATGAATGTAATGTAGTATCATCTAATATAATGACACCATGTTCATGCTCTAGATGAAGAGTGTGAGTATTGTCCTGATAGAGCTCTGTCTGCTGCACTACATGATTGGATGTTGGAACTCAACCAGCCACTGCAAGCAGGTAACAGAATATGATTTTGTGTCTGTGTTGAACACTTCAGCTGCACGTTAGCTTTCATGATTTTTTAAATGGATAATTGAAACAAACAGTCTATTGACCACAGTGTTGAATTAATGCACTCTGTTTTAAAAAAAAATCATGATAGGTCGTCAGTGCTCACGATCAGACCAGGGTTCCTCTACTCCAACGTTTCGCTGCAAAACTCCTGACAGATCTGAAGGCCCCTCTGGATTGAGAGGTACCTCTGCTGTGGCCAAACTCCCCGTCTTCCCCCTGAACTCCGGCTCACCGCCAACATCACCCACTAAGGTTAAGGGGGAGGGGGATAGGGAGGGGCAAGACGCGGAGAAGCAGAGAGCAAACCAGACTTGTCAACCCAATCACCAGCCTCCAGGATCCAGACCTGGTGCACCCTCAGGGGGAAGCCGAGGACAGAAGGCCCAGGGAAGGGGGCTCTGTGTTGGGAAGGGCCTGCTAAGTGAATCCGAGGTGCGGCTGCTGGTTGGTCTTCACTATCTCCCCCACGAACATGGACCATCTGCCCAGAAACTGCTACAGGATCTGACCTGGCTTAAATCAAACTGTCACCTGGTCAGCTCTAACGGCAAAAAGGCCCCTCAGAAGGTTGGTGTGTCTTCAGTGAGGAATTCTTCTTTCGATATGAACTTGAACTGTTTATAATATTACCTTAACCTCGGCATCAGTCGATAAGAAAGTTAAGGTGTGTGTGACCATGTGATAATTCATTTGAGTCCTTTTTGTACATACATGTCCTCAGGTTGACGAGTGGCGTGGTCGGGCCTCTAGGTTCCTGTCTCTGTGTGAAGACATCGCTCAGCTCCACTGCAGCGTGGTGGGCGGGGCCAACAGGGCTGTGCTCTACGACCTTTACCCTTATGTGTGGGATCTGAGGAACACGGCCCTGGTGGCAAAGGCCTTCATATGCTGGCTAGGTAGGGAACATCCAGGAATACAGAATAATAGCTTTGTCTCAACTGAATGCTGTGTTGTGGTATAGTACAGTTTAGTATAGTGTAGAGGTGAGGTATGTTACAGTGCAGTATAGCATAGTGTAGTTTACTCCATTGTAGTATAGTGAAGTGTAGCATAGTATAGTCTGTAGTGTATAATATAATATTGTATAGTGTAGAAGTCAAGTTTCAGTAAAGTATAGTAGGATAGTATAGTATAATAAAGCTAACCAGTATTACTCTACTATACAACTATACTTTACTATGAGTATACAATAATAAAGTATATTATATATAATGTATTTTGTATGTATTGTCAGAAGAGGGAGGAGGTCATAATTGAAAATTGATGTGTAGATTAGTGTGCTGTTGTTGTCTCCTCTTAATGACTGTCTGTTGCCTTGCACTCCACCCCACCCACTCCCTCTCCTCACTTAGATGGGCGAGTGTTGAGTGACAGCTCCACCCTGGGCTCCTGGAGAAACTGCTTCCACTGTGAGTAGTTGTGACCTTTAAACTCGTTGTATGTCTGTCTGTGCCTGAAATAACTAACCACAGGTAGCCTCTGCTGCACAAGTCATTCTTACCTAAAGTAAATCCTACCTGACAAATTACCACCCAACACCTCATGTCATTAGGAGGACTAAACTGCCAGTTATGCTTCAAATGATGACAGCAGCAGCAGCATATAAGAAACTGAAAAAGAAGTTAATTCCAGCATTTCCACATCTCTCGAGGAGCTGAGATGCTGTAAACCATGGAGGTTTTATTCTTCCATGAATATTTCAACGAGTGCGATCATTTTCCAACTCTGCTGATAACTATCCTGGCATTTTACTGCCCTAACCACATGATGTTACCCCCCTGACATTCAGTTCTTGCCTGTGGCAGGGTGTGGGGAGACCAATGGGGCGGACCTACTGGGAGTGGAGTCAGAGCCGTGGGCGTTCAAAGGGGGCGTGTCTGGGGAGGTACAGGTAGGACGCATGTTTGTATAATGTCCTTTTAAATGGATTAGGTCACTCCCTCCTGTTTTAATCTGTATATATAGTTTTTTTTGCTGCCTAAAGTATATGTTTTTGTGTGGTGTGTAGATGCTTCTCCCAATAGGAAGCTGCAGTGAACTTTTCAGTCATCCTCCTCCTCTCTTCCCTACCTCTCGTCTCTATAACGTCAGGCCCTACCACAGCAAGGACAAGGTGTGTAGTCACACCTACACCCATCATTATTTCACACCCATATATATATATATATATATATATATGGATATTCTGTTCATATTTATCTTTACGTTACGGAGCTCGTTTATTACATCTGTCCTTATTCCACCAGTTTTAAATCCCCAACCTGAAACAGTTTAATGTACAATGCTAGCATATACCATTTGGGTTGTTTTCTTTCTAATGTTGCAAAAGCTACAGCTTCTTCTGTATTTTTCCATCTTGTTTAACATCCTGAGCTTGCATTGTCAAGCAGATGGTAAATGCCATGTGTCGATCTACTACTACAAATGTTTTGTATTTCATTACTGCTTATTCTGACTATGACCTTACTCGGGGTTTAGTAATCAGAAATTGCTGTTTATACAGTGTGTGTCTTTTTCAGACTATTGTTTTAATCAGGTTAATGTTGGAATAATGACGACCATGTAAACACAGTCACTGATTTAGTTATATGAAACTGATTCAGTCAGTCACTCACTCACTCACAGGTGGGGAAACAGAAATATCTTAAACTGACTGTGTGTGTGTGTGTGTGTGTGTGTGTGTGTGTGTGTGTGTGTGTGCACGCAGGTGGAGTTGTATCGGATGGTCCGGCAGCTTCACCTGAGGACTCAGGGTGGCCCAGAGTCTAGTTGTGCTCACCCAGATGTCATAGGAGACAGGTATGTGTTTGTAAGAGAAGAGAGGAGGCATTTCCACTACAGGCATTAATCACATTGGACTATAGTCACATATTTTCAAGCCAGAGCCGAAGTTATGTTTTTTTGTTTGTCTATTCACCTGTACCGCTCTCGTGAACGCAATATCTCAGGAATAATGTGAGGTCATTTTAACTGATCAGATTTTGGTGGTCAATGGTGAAGGCCACTCTGACCTTGCAACACAGAGTTTCCGCTATAACTTAAAATTTCATAGGCTTATGAGAAAGAGCACAGCCTTGAATTCATTACCTATTATTAACTATTATTGTTAAATATAGTCTGACAAACATGGATTTAAACTGCAACTTGTTTGGCAGAGACATAGTAACTAAAACACACTGTATCAATTTTTAAATTCATGTCTCTTCATTTCCACAGATGTCTTGGACCTTGCCTGGCACTTTGCCCCGAGTACAGCTTCATCCTGGAGGATGAGCTGGGTGTGTGTGGCTGCGTGTTGGGTATCCAAGATGTCCGCTCCTTTGCTAAGCGCTGCCAAGCCAGCTGGATGCCTGCCATGAGGGACAAATACCCACATAAAGGAGGCAACACACACCCCAACGCGCAGGTGAATACGAGGAGACGTTCAAATAACATTCTTTAGAGCACACCAGTCTGACCATTTTACAGAAACACACCTGTAAAGTTATGCACACAAATGTTTCTATATCAGTATCTGCAGTCACACCATCTGATCACTCTGTGAGAGATTAATAACGCACTGAGAGATAGATGGCATACATAGGTAAACAAAGCAAAACACACACGTAGACATGGATAAGAACAAAGGAAAGCATCTTGGTTACCACTGCAGTATAGATCACAAACCCTGCCTCCTCCATGTTAGTGGATAGGACATGGACCAAACTCACATGTCAAAGTACACGTGAAAGAATTTTTCTCTCTGTCATTTTAGGCAGCTCTTATCACACTGACACATCTTCAAGTGCTCATCATAAACAGGGTGAAACATGATTGACAGCTGAGACTGACTCACAATTGGTTGAGGGTGTGTATCGGTGGTACTTCGCTACCGTGGCCCCATCCTCCATTTCTGGATAGTGAGAGGAAAAGAAAACGTGTCATCCATCTTTATATACAGTCTATATATTTGTTATGGTTATTATTATTTTTCCTCGTTGCAATATGAACTTTTTTTTCTAATTACACACTTGTGAATATTCAGCACCTTATGCACTGTGATGTGCGCCAAGTCTCTTAGTTGAAAGTTGTGCTGGTGAGAGTGTAGCTGTTGCTCATCGTGACAAACGGTCCAGGGATCTCAGGCAGAGACAAACAGAACTGGTGGTGAGCAACAGAAACAGTCACTCCCAGACATCTGTGGAGGATTTATCTGCCCGCTCAGTGAGCACACTGACACTCCCACTAAGGATGACTGTTGTTCACACTGCAGATGTAGCTGTATTGACTGTTCATCAAAGTTGAACTGGTCAGACAGAGTGAGTGATTATTGGAATAACATCTGTTCCTACTCTATATAATCTATGTAAATACTAAGTGTTTTGTAACTCATTTATACAGTTGCCTTAATATATATTTGAATGCCTGAAAACTCTAGGAAACAATAATCACCAGCTTCTACAACAGGAAGTACATGAGACACAGAGGCCGGAGTCTACAAAATAAAAGCTGATGCATACTTAAATACTGTATACTTAAAACTAATATTGAGAAAGTGTCACATATGGCTCATTATGTTCATCTAGTGGCAGCTATAGGAAACTGCAACAACATAACAATGTCAGTTCAGATAGTTTCCACAAACCTCAGACAAACTTTCCATTTGGAAAATGTTCACCACCCACCAATCATTAAAACTGGAAAAGACAAAGATAACTTACAGGATCTTCATGGATCATTCAACACGGTAGAAACGTCCATGAGTCTGTGCTCTCCTCCAGGACCTGATCCAGCTGATGGAGGAGGACCAGGGCGAGTACCCAGACTCGCTCCTCTATCATTTCCCTTCCCAGCTGCGCCTGGACGCCCTGCCTGAGCTGGTGGACATCAGCGTCAGCCGCACGCTGCTCACTGCCCTGCTCACTGCCCTCAAGGCAAACGGTAAATACAGAGCACTGAGTAGCTGTGTGCAAGCGTGTGTGTGTGTTTGTTAATTATTTTCTTTAAACATGGTAATGTGATACTAAAAGTGCCATTAACCCTCTTGCTGACAAGGCTAAACAGATGAGCAGAAATGGAATTGAGGGGTGAAGCAGTTTCAAATAACATCTATAATCTCTTTTTAACTTTATGAACACAGATATTTGTTATGTATTTGTATAAGTAGTTTGAGATGAAGACAAACATTTTTCTGTGTGTATGTGTAGGTTCTCAGGGTGTGTTCTGTGAAGTGCAACCGACGGACCGTCAGAGGCTGGAGTTCTTGACCAAACTGGGCTTCCTGGAGATCCTCAGAGGAGAAGCCAGGAGCCGAGAGGGAGTGGTGCTGGGGAGGCTGCTCTGAACATAGAACACGCACACTAAAACACACAAGGTCACACACACATACACAACAACACACACACATGAAGGCACTTGCAACCAGATGCAGTTACAGACACGAAAGAAGTTTTCATTTAGTTTTCTTCATCAAGAGAGAAAACCTTTCTGGGATGGTGCTGGATTTCTTAGATTCTGAGTGGCAGTAATGAGGATGAACCCACATATTTCTGAGGGATTTACAAAATATGAAATAAGCCTTGAATGTAAACCTTCAGCAGATCTGTGCTAATCTGTCTGGGATTCTTCCCCTGGCTGAGGATTGTGAGGTGTGGTCTAGTTTGATATGAGAGCAGTGAGCTGGAACACAGCAGCAACAAAGTTCTGTTGTGAGGGACAAGAGTCATTCAATCATATTAATCTTTTGTTTAATGACTATAAACAATATGGCTGTTTGATCACAGTGAATCCACAGAGTTTGTCTGCAGTCCTCATTGGCTCTTTGGAGCATTTTAGCCAATTGTTTTTGTTTTTCTGGGCTCTTTTTTTCCAGGGCTCTCATTAATGTTGTTTTCATTCCCAGCAGACGTATGTGAGAAAAAAGCTTGGATGTGGCATCGATGATCTACCCTGCTGAAGTGTTCTTCAGCAAGGAGCTAAATCCTTACAAGCCTCAGAGCTACTGTTTGGTTAAGATGTTGCATTAATGAGGCAAGAAAAAGAGTTTCGCAAGCTCACAGTGATCTTGACCTCTGTCGACCAAATTGTAATCACTTCATCTGTGTGTCCAAGTAAATGTTTATGCCATATTTTGAAGGGACAGTGTGTAGAATTTTGTGATATCTATTGTAGAAATTGCATGTTGCAGCTGAACACCCCTCACCTCACCCTCTCCTTCCAAAAATGAAAAAGAAACTGTGTGTTTGGTTTTTCCAGTCTGGAGTAATGTAAAAAACATGGCGGCCTCCATAGCGAGGGTCCCCTCGATGTAAATATAAAGTATTTGAATATGAAGGGCCTTTTCTGGGGTAAAGAAAACTACAATTCATAAAATTTAGATGAAACACACTAGTGAAAACATCATGAGAATGATTCTACATTTAATTTCTGCCAATAGTTCCCTTTCACCTAAATCTTACACACTGGACCTTTAATAAACTCCCTCGAGAAGTTCTTAAGATAGAATGTTCACAAAAATGGGACGGACAACGTGAAAACATAATGCCTCCGTCCACTGGGTGTCACCAGCGTTGAGGCATAAGAAGCATATAAAAAGAAACCATGTTGTTTTATGAGGAGGTATCTGCCAGACTTCTTTTTAGGCATTAGACATGTTCTGGTGATTAGAGAAAGGGGGAGAGTGACAGAGAATTGGGACTGAATGGGAAATAGACATAGTCTTCCTGGGTGATTTATGCCAAGCATCATTTCTCAAAATGATTAACTTTTTTTCTTTAAGCCAACATAAGATAATTATCTCCTGAAGACGACTGCAGTTGAGCTGCTGTGGTCCACTTATAAAAGATATTTCTTTCCTTAAAAGTTAATTTTCATGCTCCTATCCTGTCGGTTGAATAGTCTGCAGACTCCAGACCAGACCCGTGCACAAGTTCACGGTTTACACTTGCTTAGTTTGGATTAATGTTTACATGCATGATAAATAAAACAGTGTGGCTTTTCACAAAGTGGAATTACATGCACTGATACTGGCACAGACATCATTTCAATGGAATGATCTAACGTGGCAATATTAATGAATATGTTTTGGTCATAGCTGTAAAGTTTTAGGAGAAAAAAAATTGCATGCACGCTAGAACTCATCAGAAAACCCCCATAAATAATGATCAGATTTCTGTGCATGAAAATGATCATTCAGACACAACTATCTAAAGTTTACACTCGGTTCTGTTGGCTATAATAATAGATAGATACCTCTCCCTTATTCAGCACCATTTACACTTTACACAGATACATTTACTGTGTGTATGTATTACTATGTATGAGGTGGGTGTGTGTGTGTCAAATATACAAACACATCTTTCTGCCTTTATTCCAAACTATAACACACACACACACACACACACACACANCACACACACACACACACACACACACAAAAGAAGCACAACAGCACTCACAATCAGATTCTCAACTGAAAGTTGTAGAACTACGAATGTTCATTTTTTTGTAAAGACAGCTTAAAAAAGACTAAACTACTTTTTGTGCAAGTATTTATACTTCTACTTTTGATTTCTCTTCTTTTTTTATTATTATGCTCGATCAATCAGACTGAAAAGGCACTTTTGTACGTCTCCTCTCATCAACCTCATCACCATCATCCGTGAGTCTAGTCCCAGAACTGTAAATTATGTAAACAACTACAACAAAAAAAGTCTTAAAGCACTGAGATAGAAATGCATGATTTAAAGAAACCTTTTAGAAAATACGTCATAGTTTGTTGCAGAGGGTAGTACACCACACGAGGTATCGTCTACTTTCAAAATGTCTGTGAATGTGGGCATGTGTGTGTTTGGAAACAGGTTTGGTAATGGGCAATATATGTAATTTTACACAGGCAATATGAAGCACTGTGAGAAAAAATCAAATTAAAGCAGGACCTAAACACTTCACTTTTTGTGTCGTAATAATAATAAAAATGATAATAATAACAGTTACCTTCAAACTCCTGGCTTAAGCGGCCGACCACTCACATGACCCGTCGTCTACATGTTCTCATTGTCTCACTGTCTGCCTGCACTGATTTACATGAACAGTTTGTTTTACAGTGAGTTCCAGTAGAGTGCTATTTAGTATGTCTATGCAGAATAATGAAGGTTCAAAATAATTACTGTAGATTTCATTGTGTTTTTATTGATAACAGTGAAACTGTCATTTTAACAGTGAATTACTTTAATGATCTGACTTGTTGATTTCATGCCGAATTAAAAGAGGTTTTCTTTCCCCTTTAACTGGCTTGTTGTTGTTTTTTCCTAGTGAATACAATGCTGAAAAAAGACAATGTAATAACTCAGGTGGCAAAAACATGAACAAACATGGTTGAAAACATTTAATTGAAATTGTTCATGTTTGAATACAGAGGCAACAACTTTAAAATACTTCATAAACATTTTATTCCTGTCACTGTACTGCCACCATGTGGACAAACAGTAGAGTGAGGGAATCCTTATAGACTTTTGTTAATAGACACAATTTAAATGACTTTTATATTTGTATTTAGTGCTAATGATGATATTTAGATTTAGTGCTAATGATGATATTTAGATTTAGTTCAAATGATATATCATATTGCATTTAGTTCTGATGATGTGCCAGACAAGAAATCAGGAACTCAGATGCTGTGAGGTTTCACATCAGTTCTGGATCGTGTCATGAAATTAAAACAGCTTTCATTTTTGTGGGGTGGCATTTTCTCCTTTCCTTTCAAAAAGGTCTGATGTTTCCTACGCTAAAAAAGATAAGTTAGGAAGCATTGAAGCTTCTTTCTTTCCTTATCATTTCGAGAATTTGAACAACTCTTATTATGGCGGCCGCTGTAACACTTCCGGTTAATTTCACTCAGTAAGGAAGGTTTCCTGAGTAAATTATCTTTTTGAAAAGCAGCCATTATGTCGCTATCACTCCGTGTAAATGTTGTAAATCATTACTTACATGTTAGGTTTAGGTTTGCTTGTGTGGGCGCGTTCTCACACTCCACTACAGTGCTGTCTCTTTCTAGGGTGTTCCTGGCTATCCACTGGCGCCGGCGAGAGTACAGGTTGTGTTCAGGGGCCTTGACTTGATCAATTGGGATGCTGTATGCTGCTAAACTGCCAGTCAGCAGCAACATCAATGTAGCTGTCAGAGTAGCTGCCCAACTGCATGCTGGGAGACCCACCTAGGCAGGGAGAGAGAGGTCTTTTTTGGTTACTGGAGGATACAAGCATTTATATACAATTTATTCCAACTGGACCTCACGGTCAAAAGTGCAGCAGACGTTCAGCTCAGAGAAGATTACCCACATATAGTTGAACTGAATGGTTGACATTGTTCTGAAAATTGCTTTTCTACTGAGTATACAAAACCCAATAAAAACTCAAGCTATAACTGAAAATATCCCAGTGGAAGCTTTGTGTGTGAAGTGTGTGTACTTACAGTTCCCAGCAGGTTTCCCAGAGCGATGTCAGCATATGCAGAGAGGAAGGCTGCAGGCAGAAGAGAATTCATTTACATTAAATATATTCCCCACACACTCATCTGTTTATTTCTTCTGGTTGCTGATGTACATACAGAGGCACAATGGCCATGGACCTCCAACTGCAATTTCAGCTGTGTGTATGTATGTGTGGATGGGTGGGTGGGTGTGTATAAACATATACTTCTGTCAAATTGTCCGGAGACAAGAGTGAAAGCAGAGACAGGAAAAATGACAACATGACAGAGTTATTGAACCCATCTCAGATTGTCATTTTTTATTTTTAAATTCAAACATTCATTCATTCACTCATTCACTAAACATGGGGGGAATTGTTTTATAAATGTTACGATCAGTTCAAAATCAAAATATATGATCTAGAAGCGCATCAGACCATCTGAAGTAGTTTGCCTTATGATCCAGAAGAGGGCACTCACTGTTGAGCTATGACATCAGGTAAGGTGTGAAAACAGCAAAAAAGAAGCTTCAAGACAAAAGGATGAACATATTTAAAAAGATGAGGCCTGAGCACACCTCCAACATGTACCCTATTATTGTCCATTATTATCCATTGATTTTGATGCATTTGTTCCATTAAATTAAAATCAACATTAACTCACCTAAACCAGATAATTAAAATAAGACCTGAAATGTACGATCACAACATTTGAAGTACGGTAAAGAAAACTGGGGTTAATGTAAGGTCAGCAACACTGATGTTAAGTTCTTGAAACAATATACAGTATAATAGCAACTGTGTGTGGGTATGTTTGTGTAGGTTTTTTTTGGTCACCGCTGGCAACGGCGAAGACGTGGGTCCTCCAGCTGAAGGTGAAGAAGAGTCCTCCAACTGCCATGCAGCCCAGAGCTCCATTAAATCCCGACAGACCCGAGTACAGAAAATCATGACTCACCACCATGGATAAACCTGCCAAACACACACATCATAATCATGTCCTGCTGAATCTGCAGTACTACAATCATCCATACGGTGGTGGTAGACACATACTGTAGTACAGTTTCCTTTAGTGCTGCATTTCATTTGTTTGTAGCCTAATAAGGACATTTCTTGTTTTTCTTTGTCTGGCACCATTTTACCATAGGAAAGATGCAAATATCTGGTCCAACATCAAAACAAATCATCTTTCTGTTACTTCCAGGTCCTTGGCATTCTGATTAACAGTGTTTACAGAAAACATTGTACAGTTGCTAAGTTTTCTACTTTCTTTTATTTAGGATTTTTTCCAGTTTGGAATATATGTGTGTGTGTTCATACAGCAGTCACATTATCATGGCAAGTGGCACTAGACCCTTCACTTCCCCAGTAAAATAAATGATGTTACATTCGAATAACATAATCTCAATAACAGTACTACTGCGGTAGGTGGACTAACACGGTCAGTGCCTCCTTAAACCACCAACACAACACCACACAGTGATGCTGAAGACTGCACAGGAGCCATAATGACCCACATAAATCTCTGCAAGGCCTGAGGCACTGACCCTTTCTCTGCTGGCCTTTAACAGCAGCTGCACTATGTCCCAGACCATAACCATTAAGTCTCAACTACATCAGGAAGAGAATGCTTCAGTTCAGCTGAAAATGCCAACAAACGTCATTCAAACTCAAAAATCGGAATGGTTAAATATATAACGGGAATGATTAATACAGTGCAGACCTCCGCCACATCTGGACCGGCACCAAAGGTCTTGATAAGCTCTTGGACGTACTTCAAAAACTATTAGAGATATGTCAAAGGACATTGAGACCTTACTGAATCCCCATCATCTCAGCTACAGATTGGTAGCAGTTGTAGGTTTCTAGCCCTAATTTGTACCATATAGTGGCAGAGAATAGAAACATCAAAAACATATTTTCATACAGGGGTATATATTTAAGTCATTATATATGGGATTTCATTGATACAAACCTTCTAAATGTGCTTTTTTAAAATCCTTCTCATTATACCATGAGGGAAAATTCCTGGATCTACCTCTTTATCGCAATCTCCATAAAACTGTCATAACTTGGTGAAAAGTTGGGATTGAGACAAGATTACAGCCAAAAATTGGGTCATTAATGTGTCCATCAAGGTAACATTTACTAAAACTGCTGTTGGCATATTTCAATGTGGATGTCCTCCGTGAAACTGCAACAAAAACCAAACATTTCAAAAAGACTGGAAGCAGTGCAGGGTTGCAGTTGCACAACTTGTACTGAATACACTGGTAACCTTTTGTAGCTTCATTCAGCAATGGTGCTTAGTAATAATCTTTAAACATATGCAGCACACAAAGCCACAGGGGACAAACTAGCATGTGTGTGTGTGTCTAACCAGAGGCCATCCACCATGTTGCCACACCTAGGTTAAAAATCTATTCCCACTGTTCATCTGAGAGAAGAATTCGAACCTGCTTACTGATTGTTTCATTGATATATGTCGTACTTATGTGTGTGGGAGCCAGAACATTGCAGCAAAAAGGTTATATTTTTACCTTCTTGAGTGAGAGTTTCATAAAAAATTACTGAACACTGCCTGACTGCAGAGAACAGTGACCTCCCCTTGCTCTGGCTATACACTGTATTATTTACATGCAGGCAGCTGAATGTGCTAATGGGTGCATGGAAAGGATTGTCATTTACTCCATGTGCATTCTCATTTTCTCTTTGGTGACTACAATAAAATGTTGTGTTAGAATTTTGGGGATGCTTTCACACTGTCCATTGCTGCAGCTGCTCCACCCTGTATTTCCCACTGCAGGATTTTCCACAGGGTTCATCTGCATTAGCTGTAAATTCTGGAAGCTCTTCTGCAGTTACCTGATCCTCGGGCTGTGCTGTGATTGATTTCCTTATTACCAGACATTGTGGGCTGCAGTTTAGCAGTCTGGTCCTGAAGCAGACTGACCACACCCCAATGCTGCCTCCTCCCTCTGTGTGTCTGCTGGGCTACTCTGCCATCCACTGTCTTTTTATTTTTCCCTCTTTCACAGCTACCCACTCCTGCAGTTGGTCTTTAAACACTCAGGCTCCCACTACACTCGTCTTTTCTATTCCTAATTCCACACTTGATTATCTTCCTCGCAGCTTTGTTTCTCCCTCACAGCACTTCGCTCGTTCCATTCCTCGCTTCCCCTCTTCTTCATCACTCCCCCTCTGGTTTCCTCGTTACTTCCTCACATAAAAATGTCACTGAAGGCTGAATGTAGTTTAGGAGGGAGACCCAAAAGAATACTAAAATGTTTATTTCACTGTTTTTTCTACTCTGTTTGTGTCTCACTCCCAGTATGATCTAGTCTATGCTAATAGAATGAGTCAGAGAGCTCTTATGATGTCAAACTGAATCTCTCCTCTCCCATCACACCAAAATGACTGGCTGCAGACTAAATGGAGGAAACTGAAATGAACTGTGCGTAATATAGTTTCTTGTGGTTTTAGTGTAATGGTTGTCCTGCTTCTCTGTGTGTGTGGGTGTATTTACAGCAACATCTCTTTTGCTATCAGCCTTATTTCAGATATCGTATTAGTCTATTTCTTTGAACACTTAAATGTTTTTAATCACATGTGCTAACAATTCTATGTTGGTATTTTATCCTTCTATATTTACATAGCTTATATTTACATCAAGGGGGTCCTCTCTATGGAGGCCACCATGTTTTTTACATTAGTCCAGACTGGACAAACTAAACGCCTTTTGAGTTTTTATGACAACTGAAGGCTACCAAAGGTTCTTTCTAATGTTTGGAAGCAGAGGGTGAGGTGAGGCACCCCCCTGCAACATGCAATTTCTACAATAGATATCACTAAATTCTACACACTGTACCTTTAAGTACAGCTACAAGTTACAGTAACGTCATCAATTTTCACAGCATGTCTAAAATGTATGTACAACTTCACTGAATCCACAGAGATGGTTTTAGAGCAGATAACTAAAGCCAGTAAAATACTATAGACTTAATTAATGAATAACAGTTGACTGACCCAAGTGACCAACTCGTCACTAAATTAAAAAATTAAATAGTTTTGTTTAATAATTTACAATGAATTCTCAGTCGTGCCAAAGACTGTAATCATTAGCTCTTCTTTAGGCCTGTTATCTAACACCAAGAGGTCTGACTTAAAAATACTAAATTCTTTTTATTTATTAAAAGTATGTTTTATGACAGTGCCATGTTGTGCAGGTCATTCATTTATACTAAAACACCTTTCAGCTCGTGTTATACTTGAAAAAGCCTTTTTTTATGTGGAGTTTCACATCATACACACCATAAATACAGATATAGCTACATAAATGACTCAGAGTTTAACAGTGAAACCCAGCTGACTTCTCAGACTGTCTTACTTTCTCTCATCTCACTCTAAAGTGTTTCTACAGTTATTCTCCTATAACATGTACGCAGCAGAGGGAGGAGGCTCTGGCCTACATACAGCCTGCGATCCCCCTCCTACAGAAACCCCTTATGGGACTACGTTTACATCACAAAGGTATGATTGGCAGCTCTAAATATGGCCTCACACTTCTTAGTCCAACCCATGCCGCTTTATCTCTCCTTCATTCCTGTTCCTTCTCTGAAACAAAGTATGCCTTACGGTGATGAAGCCGACAAACCACCTACAGAGAGCTACAGAGGTTCCCCCTGCTGTTTGACAGGGATACACACACCACACATCTGCTGTACCCTTGTTTTTCTGTCACGCACCTCCGGGAGGAATTAGACGGTAAAAACTACGATGATACTTGAGTCGAATGCTCATGTTTAAGGAAAACAATGATGCCAATATCGATCTTGGTGATGGAGTAAGATAGTCATGGTAAACAGTGAACAGTTATGCTGATGCTAATACTCGAGTGAAAACTCAGCTGACGTTTTAATGTTCGAGGCTGATTTGTTTTTAAGGCTCGTAAATAAGTTTTTTCAAAGACAAAGATCTTGTTTTGAAGGGGAGAGCTAATTAGCCCAAATATTGTTGTACAGTATTATGACAAAAATAATAAAATTGATTGATTTAACACGAGAAGGTGATCAAAAGACTTCCTTCAATCTATTAGAGCCACATGCACATCCTTATAGCATGTGAAGAAATCCAAAGCTGAACAGGCCTGGTTACAGTTGCTAAGCTATGATTGGACAATCACCGATGAGGGTGGGGTTTAGTCAATAGTTATTAATTCTTGTCAGTCACACTCACACACAGACACACACACTGAGTATCTTCATCCTGAGCCCATTCCAGCGGCACCCAGGGAGAAACACTGGAGAGACTGATGAAAGTGAAATGACTGATGAGGAGTTTTAAAGGGTGATAAAATGAAGGTTTAAAGAAGACAGAGAGAGATGTAGTAAGAAGGGCTGTTCATCAGGGGATAATAAAAGGCAGAGCCGGGGGCAGGACTTGTCTGAAGTGTTGAAGAAAATGGTGTCAACTCAATATACACAGACACACACACAATTTCTGATCCCTTCACTATTTAGGGAGTCCTCTTTTCTTCTCTGTAGCATTAATGAGCATTTCACTTTCTCTCTACTTTTCTCTCTGGTGCTTCTTTTTCCTTCACTCAGCTTTTTCCTCTCGTCTGCTCTTTATCCTCTTCTCTCCATCTCCACCTGCAACTTTTCTTCTTTGTCTCCTGACACTGATCTCTATTCTCCCTTCTGGTTCTCTATCACGCAAGATTAAGTTTTGTATCTGACCTTGTAGCGTTTTGTATTTTTTGTAACTTTTCCACTGTGTGCCATTGCTTTGTTTGTTGCTATGTTTGGGTGTTTGTTCGCAAAATCTCATGTATTCAGGCCTCCTGGTTCACCAAACCACCTGGTAAAAGAAGCCTCATGCAACTAATGCCCATATTCTGTTAGTGACCCAACAAGAAAACTAACCTTTTCATTACATTCGCAAAAAGTCAAACAAAAGAGTGAAACAAAGTGTAAAAGATAAAAATACAAAGCAATTAGAAGAAACACAGAGAGGATAATAACAAACCCTCCGTGATATTTTTATGAGCAGATTTAAAAAATGGATGTGGATTTAATAAACATGTATTATGGCAACTTTCTAAGTAAACTTTTCAAGTAAATGTTACTCAAACTCAAAACTCGAATTGTCCATTTGATGGGGACAATTTTCAACGATGAATTACACATTTGGTATTCTGAGAGAGATATACAACAGCGGTGTGCCGTCAGAACAAGCCAGGTAGTGAGGCTGTATGTAGGCCAGAGCCTCCTCCCTCTGATGCGTACATGTTGTAGGAGAATAACTGTAGAAACACTTCAAAGTGAGATGAGAGGAAGTAAGACATTAATATTCCAACGTTACTTAATTCCATTTTTGAATACTACTGCCATGTAAACATCATTTTCAAATTTTTTGTAAGACTGAATAAGGTCAAACACAGAATAAGGACTAATTGAAGTCAGACATGTGGGGTATTCTAATCAAATTATTATGTCTTCTTTGAGTTTTCACAGCATTTTGTAACATCGACATACAGCAGTTACCAACTGCTCTATTCCATAATATTAGCAACTCACGTAAACATAATAATCGTCAATGTGTGGAAGTCAATGCAGGCCACTGATAGACACAAGACTGTGTGTGCGATCGTCTCCATATAAACAGAAATGTGAATGTTCATAATGAAAGATGATGTCATCAGTGCAACAGTGGGGTTTATCAGTGCATTTGAAATAGCTGGTGCATCACCAGCCTAATTCTTAAGACATTCAAAGTAACATCCTAAATTAATTCTTAAACTCCAAAGCAACTAGAAAAGAGGAATAAGATGCCGTGTAATGTGCTCTCATCCCTTGGAATTAGTTAAAAAGGATAAAAGCTGAATATTAAATAGATAATTGCTTCTGGTGGAACCCTGCTTCACACACACCCAGATGTAAGAAATGAAAAGGAATTTTTTAAGCTTAATGTACTCCACAAACCTGCTAAAGAAAAGCTAGAAAATATAACTGTGCATTTAAGAAGGTATGGGATGAAAGAAGGATCTATGTGTGTGTGTGTGTGTGTGTGTCCCTCGTATCATTGGTCCAAGGCTTGGTGCAAGTCTGTGTATGTTTTTTACAGTATGACTCATAGCTACACACAAGTATTTTAGGATAGTGTATTGTACTGTAGCAGCAGGAAGCAGTTTCTCTCTCTCTCTCTCTCTGAATATGCATTGAGGATGCAGATGTGAAAGACATACATAGCCACAGGGCTGTGTGTTTGAGTGGCTAGCAGTACCCTGGCTAATTGCTGTGTGTTTTCTGGAGCTGAGCAGCTTGTTTTCAGTTTCATATTTATATACGCTGCTGACATTTTGTGTTATGGCCAGTGGGATTCATAAACCTCAACAAAAACTCCTGCACCTCCTGGGGGTGCTGATGACATTTCTAACAAACAACAGAAACCAAAATGAAAGAAAACAAAAAAGGGCGCAACACACACATAGAAAACACAGATCATGATGTCCAGAAACATTTTGGTGATAAGAGCCTACACTGGTGTTGATGGGCTGTACAAAAAAACCAAAACACACATGATCTCTGCAGCAGAATTGATATGTTGAGAATCTCCTGCTGCGCTGTTCATGTGTGAAGGACAAAGTCCAGACAGAGACCGGATCCAATTATCTGGACTTCCTCCAGGAGTCATGTCTGAAAACAGCTTGTGAGTGGAAGCTCTAAAGATGCTGGATCTTCTTTATGAAGCTTTTCTGCAGGTTTCAACAAGTTCAATTTCAGATTTTAATGAATTAATTTTAAGACCTATGTCAAGGAATATCAGAGTCCCAAAATGATCTACACTTCACCATAATCAAAGATAAGGTGAAGTAACTAAAGTAGGAATCCATTGTTATTCCCAAAGCCAAGCCAAGTGTACTAAGATAAATCCTGACCGGATGGTTACAATTTAATCAGTTATCAGTTCCACGTTGGTCTTGTCTATAGTTTTTTTTCAACATCATTGATAACCATGACACATGGAGACATTAGAAAATACACATGCTGCCAAAACATTTCTCTTAATATTTAATTGTGATGGAAGTAGAGCTAAATAAAGGTTAACCTAATGAAGACCTATCTAAAAATATGTAAGTTTATGTTTATTTGGCAGGTAATGTTTAAGTATTTTAGAGCTCTTAAGGAATAAAATTCCGATAATACTTTTTTTTTTAACTTATAAGACCCTGTGGAAACCCTGTTATGGAAACAATACCATCCTTCTGTTAGACCCTTTCTGCATGGTTGAAGCACTGAGCTCTCAAGCTCCAGGTGCAGACTTTGTGCAGCAGGCTTTTTGTTATAAAGGTTGTGTTGAGCCCAAGCTGTGATAACTCTTATGGCATCATTAGGCATTCTTCGCTCAGACCTCACAAATCCCCCCCTAGAGCCACAGAAGACATTATATTACAGACACTATTGTCACAGGATGAGACAATAGTGCACCCCATAACTAGACGTTTCTCATTTAAGTAATGTTAAAACACAGTGTTACACAGAGCAACGCTGGCACTGAATATGTGTGAAGCAAATAGACAGTGATTAAACCTCAGTGTGAAATTTCAGCCCTGATTTGTTAAAAACAAACAAATTATAGGCAGGTTTTGAGGTCAGGGTTACAATCTTTGTAAAACTTTGAGAAAATGTAAACAGGCTTTGTGCTACATTACCATTTATGACCTAGAAATGAATCCAGTAACATTCCGCAACTTTACTGGCTCACACTCCCACACATAGATTGAGACTCACCAGCCAGCGTGCCGACTGCTGATCCCAGCAGAGCATGGGCGGCCAGCAGCGGAGAGTAGAGCACAACGGCTCCCAGGATGAGAAGGGAGGGTCCCATCGCATCACAGGCAAAGATCTGACCAACACCAAGAGGGATGCCACTTATCACCTGCATGGTCAAAAGAAAGGAGTTAAAAGATGGAGGAGGATTTGTTTACACTGTTATGAGGAGTATTGATACAAGGATATTTTTCTTATTTTAGGGCTCAACCAAGCACACGCAGAATGGGATCGAACCGCCCTCTGGTTAGTGGACGACCCTCTCTACCTACTGGGCCAAAGCAATCCCAAAAATTATATAGAGTATGCAACAAAAATATGCATGCACGTGTACAAGTGCGCATCTGTGGAGTAGTTGCTGTGGTGGTGCAGACAGAGCCCAATCCTCGGCAGAGAGAAATCTGAAGACATTAAATATAAATAGGACTGACGTCATCACTATCTCTAGAGAGAACCATAGGAAAGACGAGAGGAGGAGAAAGGAGAGGAGGAAATGAAGGTGGGTGGAGGAAAAGGATGAAGGAGGGTGATAGAAAAGAGAAATGGGATTTAAGATGGGAAAAATAAAGACTCAAAATAACAAATATAGTATAAAATACAGAAGTGAACAATGGGGAGAGATTGTTTCACAAGTACTAAGAAAAAAATCTATAATGCCCTAGAAAATGTGGTTATATGGTTGTGTATTGTAAATTGAACTATGAGGAAGGAGAAGAATGAAATAAAAAAGACAGATGATGGAAGATGGAGAAAGGAGATTAGCATATAGCAAAGAGAGAGGGAAATCTGGGAGATAAAACAGGAGGATTTAGAGGTTTTAAATAGCCAAAGTCACAACTGAGAGTAAATTTATAACTTGACAGAAACCTCATTTACAAAGCGGGAGACCGACAGATAGAGGGAAACAGGAAGGGGAATGTGAGGAATATTAAAAAGAAAGAAGAAAACAAAACTCTGAAATAGAGGAATATGGCTGAAAGTTGAGGAATGTAATTACTTAGCGTAACAACTTTTAGTTAAAAACTAGAATAGCCTTCAGTAGCCGATACCTCCACCAAGGTCCAACATCATTTGTCTTGCATAGTCAAAACATTATCTCAGCGGTCAAACACACCTGCTGGTAATGGACAAGAGTGAGGATACTGGTTAAGAAACACATTCTTTCCGTTATCACTCATTCATTACCCTACCCACTATATAGGGCCCTATTCCTGTTCCATTTGGTTATGGAAATTTTACATTTGTGTACGTTTAATTGCATGAGCAGACGTGTATGTGGATGACTGACCAAATGGTTGACCAAATTGTTAATCTAAAAAGGGTAACCTTAAGGTTTGCGATGGTGGCTTAAGAAACTTGAGTTTTATGGCCTCGAGAAACCACAACTTTATGGTATCTTCTGGTATCTCTGATTGGGATCAAACAACTGGGATCTCACGGGGGAGGTCATCCACAGAACATGTAAACAAATGGACAGGATGTCTCCTCCACTGAGTGAAACTACAAGAGGGTAATAAAAACCTTTGCATGCTTAGTGGGAGGGGGCTGAGAGCTATAACACAGCTAGAACACTGATTCTCCTATGTTCTTTGCTCATTTGTGCATGTCATTCAGGTGATGTGTACTGATGAGTCCATCTGCAGATGCTGAATTAAACTTTGAGAAAGAAGTGTTTGACTTTGTGCTTGTTTCACAGAAATTGCAACCACAATTTTTTTCCTTTTTTTGTTATGAGCCAGTGCCTTGAATGCTATTAACAGCTCAAATTCTGCGGGCGCCCCTGCAAAAAGGTGGAAAAAATAAGCATACACACAGAATCAATCCCTGTTGCACACGTCACTATGGAATACAATCCTGGTGGTGTCCCTGCATCAGACAGTGTGGTTTTGATCCATATAATCAGTAGACACTATCAGTTGTCAATACATAAACACTAATGCAAATAGGAAATCTTTCTGTAAACTTACATATGGGAGACAAAGATTTTTCTGATTCAAATCACATACTGTAACTCGTTCTGCCTGTTTCCAAACAAAAGAAGGAAAAATAAAAGTCTGTCCCTGTGAAAACACTGAAATGGCGGCTCACAGAGATCAAAAGCCAACTGCAGCGGGTGGTGGGAGTCTGGATTCATGAGAAGCAGCTCAAGGCAAGAGCATTTCACAAGTCACGACTTTTTTTTCAAGGCGCACTCTGCAACAGCTCGCATCACAATCATCTAGACTTTTAGTAGCATGTGAAAATAGGCCCCAAGGTGTTTTTTATCCCCTTGTTTCAGCTGCCTATAAAAAAGATTCCAATTCACTTTATCCTTCCTGCTAATCTGACTGACACTCATTATGTTTAACGTCCATCACAGTCCTACAAAGTCTCAGTCCACAGGAAGTGAACCAAATATAATAAACACAGTATCTCAAATGCAATAGCTTCACCTCGTTTCAATCAACAGAAGGATTGTTAATTAAAACAGTTTGGGCTGATTATAATTTCATAACAGGAGCTCCAACAGTGACTGTTGCTAAGTAACTGGTGAGTCATAGCCGGCTGATCTTATGCATACTGTGCTCCTATCAGTTGCTTGTTCACTCGGGAGACTGGGCTGCAACATGGCTGAGTCTGGCCTTGCTCCAGCCTGCTTTTTGTCTGTATTCCTGCTTCCATATATCATCAGTGACTGATGAACCACAACTGCTGCTCTCTTCATGTGACACGACGGGTCGCCTCTGTATAAATATCACTGCAAATGTTCCTTTGACAGATGCCCTCCTGTTGGAATGCTGATGAAGAAAATATGCAGTGTGTTTTCCTTTTTTTTTTTGTCCTTTGTTGCAGTGACTTGTATCACATCTGATTTAAAATGTGAGCAATCTGCAAAACAATACTGATAGTTTGAATTCAGTTTAAAGCACCACATATAATGTGCATCATTGCTCACTGAAAATATGAGCTACAGACTAACAAATCATGAATTCATAAAAATGATGTGCCCTTGGCTGCATGTTTCAGCTTCTTCATATTGGCTCCTGGAGTTCCCTGATCGTTCAGACTCATGGCACTATTAAACTGTCACTATGTGTGGAAGGTATACTGCATTTTAAGAGGCTAACAAATCTGGCTGGCCTTGATCTGCACTGAATCCTAACAACCCACAAGTATTATAACAAAGTTCTTAGTGCTCTGTTTCCATTTGTGCTATTACATCTTCTGTTTGATGGGAAAAGTTTAACTGCACTTTGAATCCAGGGGTAAATAGTGTCTAAAAGTTGAAACCTTACACTCCTGCAGTCTTTTGCATATTACATACATAACACTGGCATCTACACGATATCTGATGCTTGAGTATCACGCTTTTAACGACAGGCTAGCAGTTCACTTGCTGGAAAACCAAGGGGCACTAAAACTTCCTCGTTGTGTCCAACTGCAGCTCTGTTGCTAGGTGACAGGAGCAATGTCACAAATCTAGCAGCCTCCCATAGACACCCATTATAAAATCCAAAAATTGTGTGGAGAAATGTCCTGATGCTCTATATTGTCTTTTTATAACGCCCTTTGAAATATATTATATATTTAGCTTTTTCTGCAAGTTTTGGATTTCATAACTTTTTTCTTTTAAAATGTATTTTTGGTAAATATTTTTATATGCCTTAATTGATCTGGCAGCTTAAATGTAAAAAGCGGAGAGAGAGGTGAACAAATGCAGCAAAGGGCTGAAAAAAATGGAGCTGTTGTCGCTCAGCAAAGCATTTCAGTAACTCATCCTCCGAAGATCAAAGTTAAGTTGCTCCCTTACCGCAACTACAATGACTTTGGTGCCATTTGGTTCCAGCACCCCTGGTGGCACAGCTGAGTGGTGTGGGAAATAGGGATTGTTTGGGCCCGTACAAAGGAGGTAGAGGATGATGATGATGTTGAATGGAAACACAGCGACAGGTAAGTCCCAGTGGACCAACAGTGAGGTGAGACCGCTGTACAGAAACACACTGAGGAAAGGGAAGAAGAAAAAAAGTGAGGGGAGACTGATCATGGTCTTGAAATAAAATTTTCTGAAAATATTTGCTTTTACATTAGCAATTGTTTCTTTTGGTTCCCTCAGAGGGAGGAGTGATTCTTATTATTCATATCATACCGCCCGTTCGATTTTTATAATGAAAATAGAAAAACTACACTGCTTCTTACACATACAATTTTTTACACAAAAAATATCAACGTATTTAACCTATTTTCACAGATGCTTTTGTTGTGAAAATGCTTAAGATGTTTGACATGTTATTTTCATCCCACTTCAATCATGATGGTAATCATTCCCTTTGTTAAACCATGCAGATTTTGCCTTGCTTGCCATTCTTCAGATCAGGGTAAAAAAAACATGGACACAGACAAATCTACGAACGCATTTGCAGATATGCCATGGCAGAGGTATAGCAGTTAAACGACAGCCATTTGCAAGACCCTCCTGAGTTATAACTGATGACTTTTCTTTACTTACGGCAAAACAGAAATTTTTCAGTCACAACTAAGCATGAGTTAAAGATTTATTGACACAGTCGTGGATTCTTTTACACATTCACAACCCAATTATACATACACAGATTGATATACAGTTACAAAACACTCCAAATACACACAAATGTTACTGCTACAATATTGGCCCCAGTTAACTATCCCACCAGGAGTGCACAGGACTTTGTGCGTGTGTGTGTGTGTGTGTGTGTGTGGTGTGTCTCACCAGGTCGCTGAACACAAGCAGACAGGCAGCAGAAGCCACCAGTACCAGTCTCCAGCCGAGCTAAACACTCCCATCAGCAGAGACACCAACATGCCATTGCAGCCATGGAGACCTCCTGACACTTCAGTTCTACACACACACACAACACAAACACACACACACGTCACAAATTCATCTTGCATTTAAAGACAAAAGAACCTAACATTATGTCTGTCCAGTAAAATTTTAAGAAGATGATCAGAACACACATTAGCAGAGCTTTTTAGAAGCCCTCTTAAAACCAATTGTTCACTTTTATCAAGAAAGGGCCATAGGGTCACATTAAATATATTCAACATAAAACATTAGTGGCCCCAGTACAGCTGCAGTTATTTTTGAAAGATTTAAAAAAGGTTGCAAATTAACATATGGTTATGTGTGCGGCATAAATATTGGGACAGGACCTGAAATAAGACTTGCTATTTGGTGGGTGTGGGTGAACACAGGGCTATCCATCATGGAGCTGTTATTCTTATGAATTTTAAGTAGAGGGCACAATTAACATTAGTCATAAATTATAGTCTTGTGTTACAGGGTTTGTGTGGTTGTCCATGTGCCTCCACCTGTCTTGTCCCATGATAACCGCTGTTAGTGTTGAGGCCAGTATACCCAGAGTTCCCAGCAGGCCCTGCCAGGGGGAGGCCCAATACAGTGCAGCCAGGATTAGAGCGCCACTCAGCGGGTTGTTGGCTAGAATCACTCTGGCCACCCCTCTCAGGCCCCACACGGCCAGCTGCAGCACAAATGACCTTTCTGAGGGCAGGAGGGACATATTTAGTTTTTTACCATTTTTTTATGTTAAAAGAAATTAAATGAAAGGCACAAAACTTGTTTGTCAGTCATATTTTCCTGATGCCAAACCAGGGTTTTGTAAAAGAAGAGGATGGAGTTTACTAATGATATTTTACATGCAACAGCATTCTGTTGGAGCTGTTCAATCATAATGGAGATCATCTATTCCTGTAAATATAACAGTTTGATGCATATTTTTGTTTTTTTTCCCAAAGAGTTCTGACATCAATCATATTATGGAAGGACTTAATGAATTATGCATTTCTGAACCACCTTTCGCTATTAAGGACATGCTATTCATTATGAAGATACATCATAATAAATATTTCAACAGCAAAACTTTCAGGATGCAGGAGGTTTTTTTACCCTTCATGTTCTCATCCAAGTGCTCCATATCCCCAGTGCACAGCAGCAGAATGTCCAACACACAGCGGCTGAGGCTGGCACGTCTCCTGCTGGCCTCTTCTCCCACTGTTTTGGTTTGCATCCTCATCACAAGAGCCACTGCACCACACCGCCGTAAACGTTATACAAAGTGAAGTAATGCTGCAGAAACAAAGATTTTCTTCACTTTGTCGGCTCTTCATGTTCTCTTCACTCCCCTGAATGTTCTGCTCCCTTTTCTTTCTCCCCTTCCTTTTCATTCATCTCTTGTCCCCTTTCCCCCACTCCTCCGCTGGTGAGGTTTAAGGGTGGTGATGTATTAACTGTTTAACCGGGCAACGTATTTTCATCAGGACTGGTCAGAAAGAGGCAGATTGGTGTATTCCTCCTCTGTTTCTTCATTTTGTGTTTTCTGTTAGTGCCACTGTGACTTCTCCTAACCAACTTTTTTCCATTTTAGTGTTTTGACCACTTTTTACTGCTGCAAGAGCACAGGTATATGTCTTTCCTTTATTTGTTAAGCAATTAGCAGGTGTCATGTTATCTCAAGTTATTCCAAAGGGTGTAATATATAATCCATCTCTGCTGCTCTGAAAACATTGTCGACACAAATGATTCCATAGCTTCAGAGAACTACTTATTTTACATTAAACTCTTTCTTTCTATTTAGTTTTTTTACTTGTGAGCATAGATAATCTGCAACTATAGCTCCAGTAGTCACCATTTTTATATTTTTGCAGTGACATCTACAACTCACTGAATTATCCATATAACATATAATATCACTTGCACTTGGAAAACAGAAGAATTAGGCTTTGGAGAAGTGTGCACATAAAAAGCTCAGTGCATTTCTCTAAATACATGTGTTTTTGTTGGGAGCACATGCATTAGCAGGCTCAATGTGCAGCAAGTGAAGTCAACAGTCGCATAACATCACAGGGAGTACATTTTTCTCTCTGAGTCAGTGCAGCAGGGGTTCAAAAGCCTTGTTTTTGCAGGTGGAAATTGCTCTGCCATTCAAGGACCCCCCCCCTCACTTCCTCTGTCCCTCTCATGCTATTCATCTTTTATTTGCTTCAATAAACACATCCACCTCCCTCTGTCTGTCACTGCTCCTTGGCTGCTTCCATCAGTCACACTGTGTAAACTGGGCTGTGATTGGAAAAAGAGATGCAGGTAAACGTTGAACTGTTACTTTTTCATCTTTTGTTCATGCAAAACACAAAGACTCGTTCCTCATCTCGTCTTAATGTTCCATTCCAGGCTAATTCTTACGCAGGGTGAAGGTCAGTGGAAGCATAAATACGACACAATTAGAGGGTGGAACCATAGAGTGCAGTACACAGCATGTGTTACCTGTGTGTCACTGCATACTGACACCACTTATATAACTGCTCAGAGGGAAAATCCAATTTACACCACTGTCAGTTAAACTGTTTTGCATCAAGACTTGCACACTCGCAAGAAAAAACACATGTAGCTACATTCCCACAGGTTAAAATCTCAACATGCGAGCAGTATCAGTGCATCGCTCCCTCCTATGTTCTCTTTAGTGATACACTGGAGGAATTTAATAATGCATTTACCTGATTGTAAATAGCAATCTGCGAAATAGCACTACTACCGCATTAAAGTCCACTGAGAACAAAGCAACATAGATTAGAAGAATTTGCAAGTGTTATGTTATTAACCTCAGGCAGGCAAATCAGAAACAATGAAAACGAATGTAAACTAATGTGAGTGATTGAGGCAGTTCACAGAAACGCTGCAAAGCTACTAAAATATCCATTTACCCAAACTTCCTGAATAAAATCCAATCTCTAAAGCAAATGAAGTATGAGGCCGTGATCACATCACAAAACGACCTGCAGCAATTACAGCCCATCTGGACTCAACACCATGGTGCTCAGCTTAAGTGATTTCCCACAAGTCAACGCTAAATGGCTAATCATTTAATAATACCTTGCATAGCTGTGTAAACGGTGAATAAGTAAAACTCCACAGAGGACAGTCGAGATGCGAGAGAGGGGCACCCATGAAACACACTGATAAGGCAGAATATGGGATTACTGCTTTATCTTCAAGGAGGAGAGTGTGAGCAATAATCTCCCCTTGTTTCCATAGTGATAGACATTTCTCTCATCGTTCTTTTTCTACCTCTTTTTCTGTCACTCTCTTTCCTCTCTCCCGGTGTGAAATACATGCTGGTAGTAGGAAATCTGTGACGTGCACACTCATATCACAAACATGGTACGTGATAATTGAGTCAGTTACCTCAGAGTCGAGGCCAGCAGCTGAAAAACTTGCAAAACACTGAAATATCAAAAGTCATGACTTAAACAGATTAAACTTTGCAGTTAAACAGACAGACTAGCATGTATAAACTGGCCATCAATCCTCAACCCAACACAAAAATGCACAGCAGCAGGTTTGTGTGTCTTAAGTCCATCATATTTTAGTATTATATATATATATATAAATGTTCTACAGCACAGAGACAACCCCCTAGCTCATTATGCCAATACTTTCTGTCTGCACTATAGATCAGTCATACTCCACCTTCTTGACAATTTAACAAATTTAAGGAAAAGCTGACTCTGAAATGTGAAGATATTCACACAGTAGGGAATCAAAACTATGGGTGATCAGTGAAAACATTTTAAATAAAAAAAAAAACACACTTTCAGTTAAAAGAAACAGGTTCATGGTTATAAATCTCAACTTTTATCTTTGTTTGTTTTACAATCCTAATCCTGATCTAACAGACTATCTATAAATCTTCAACAAACGATAATCAATGACCGTAAACTGTGTAAAAAGCTGGATGACGAGTCTTCACTTCTTCCCACTATCTAAATATCCCAGATATAAACACATACTTATGCATTTGAAACCAGAGTCTGGACAGCTGCAATCACAGGATGGAGCCTTGGTAGCTAAAGTCCCTTAAATATACATGTTCGACCATCGTTAGTCAGTCTAAGCCATCAATTATGATATTTCACACCGTTTTCAAGGAATCAAATAACTAATTACAACCAAATTTAGCAGCACATACATCAGTGTGATAAGAACCTCAAATGACAAAGTATCTGTGAAAAAGTTTGACTTAGTTTGGTCCATGTCCCATCCACTAACAGGTAGGGTTTATGAACTATACAGCAGTCAGCCACTAGGGGACGATCAACACGCTCTGGCTTCTCTTTTAGGGACACAAGTGTTTTTCCCACTATTTTTATACATGGGGTTTCAAATCATCATTTTTGTGTCAAGCATAATCAAGAGCGCGCACACACACACACACACACCTCTCTAAGTGTGAACATCATTGCAATGGGCTCTCTATCCTCACAGTCCATTAAGAAAAGCATTGGAGAGTAGAAAAAGAGGAGAGGAGGGAGGACGACTGATGGAAGGATCATCCATGCAGCTCCAGTGGAGAGCCCTCTGGGTGATGAGTGGTACTCAAGTCTCCTGTGTGACCTTCTCACCATTCCTTCAGAACACTTGCCTCCAGTTACCCTTCAATTTCCCACATACCTTGTCATTTCTCACATATACTGTACCTCTGCATGTCACTAGACTCTGCAGTTACAGGCAAGACAGCCAGAGGTGCTTTAAATTCTGCTGTGGCAGTATTGATTAGAAGCAGTGCAATACAGCACCTATGGACATGCAGGAAATGTTCAGCTCTGTTATTACTTGGGGCTCATTGTTCGGGAAAATCACTGGTATTAATCATTACAATGACTTTAGAGTTAAAGGCATCAATGTTTACATCATAAAAGCAGCTATGTCCCAAATATGGTCTCCCCTTTCTGTTTCTCCCACTTACATACATAGAAATCATCTCAATTTCATATTCAGAGTTAACTGCTTATCAATAATCAAGATAATTCCCTGCGTAGTGTTTGTTTAATCTTACAGTAGAAACCCAGAACAATCCACAGCCACAGTAAATGCAGTCTGCTTTGTACAATATGGGGAGGGATTTGAATGAAGCTGCTCCCTCGCTCTATACTTCTCCCTCCACAATTGTTTCCTTGTTTGGCTTGTACGGAATTGAGGACAAGCGAACCTAATCCAATCAAATGAATATATGACATGAGGGGGAAAGAGAACAGACAACATGGAGGTGGTGAGTGACTGCTGTGTGCTGGTGACTCACCACCTGAGACTATCGAGCTCCTCAGCAGGATGTGATGCAGCAGTTGGACAAAACTGCATGGATTAGCTGGGTGTTTTATATGGGCATGAACCATGTTTAACAATAATAATCATTCTCAATATGTACTGCTTTAAGTTACTAACGATGCCTAAAAAGGAGCTGTTACTTTACATGAATGTAGTTTCCAAATAGGAAAACTTGTATTCTATATTGTTTTCCTTTCAACTTGTTTTATACTGCAGTGGAGGAATGGCCTTTTAAGATTAGAAAAGGATATAACGGCTGTATTTGACTTAATAGTATTCGAGTTGAAACCGTTTCTTCCCCAGAGTTAACATCAACTAAATGTTCCAAATCAACTCCCCAGATTAAATTCACAGCAGGCGAATTAAGGCAGATATACTTTTCACAAAAAATGTTTTACAAAGTCATACCCAATGAAGAGCTGACACTAACCCCAGCGATCAAGAGCTGCTCTTAAATATAATTTTCATATAATTCTTCACCTGACTTCCTTGTTTGCTCCTGTATTCCCTGTCTCTGGGGTTTTGGCCCAGAACTACCTCTTCAAATCCAGGTTTTCCTCTGCCAAAACTGAAGAACAAGAAGTGGAGTTAGATGGATTAGTGGGGTCAAAGTAAGAGTCGGCAGTAAAACGTAAGTTGAGTTGTCCACAGAGAATTTGCTGTGAGGGTGTCGTTTTGTGCCTCAGCTGCTTGAGCTGAAACTGCATAATCTTGTTGACTTTGAATTTTATGCAAATGCAGGAGCAGCACAAACAGCACTGTGCAAGCAAACAGCCTCTTTAACACTAACTCAGCTGCAACAGTGTGCTTCAGCTGCTAATCCACTGACACCTGTGAGCTCTAGAGAGCCTTTTTAACTAAAGTGTTCTCTGATCCGACCTCCACGATGTTTGACCCCAAAGAAATCAGTCCGACAAAAAAGTAACCAGGAGCAATGGCCCAGCTACATGCTGGGGTGTGTCAACACATATCTAAACTGGTACGAGCAAAAACCAAACATTATGCTATTATTAAAATGTGTATTACTGTTTGAACTGTAGACATTAAGTATTAACTGTTCAACATTGCACACACACGCAGAATGAGTGATCGGGAATACAGCATTAAACATGGTCAGAAAATGACTCGGACAAAGAAGTATAAGATAGTATCATTGTATCTCGACATGATTGCAATAATTGGTTACGTACTCTGTATCTTTATTAAGGTCATTCTGGACAACAGACATTGTGCATGTGCGTCTATGTGGTAACTTGGCATGCCGTGCAGGGGCAGGGCCTCAGTAAGTGAGTCATGTTATAGATTCTAATGTCAGCCTCGTCTGTATTTCCCTCAACAGAGTCGAGCAGAGATTGTGAAAACAAAAGACTGAGGAGGGACAGAAGACAGAGAATTGAGTGGCAAACTATGAAGGACTGACTGGGGTCAGAGGTCAAGGGTGTGTGTGTGTGTGTGTGTGTGTGTGTGTATGTGTGTGTGTGTGACTGACAACTCTCCACAGCAGGCTACTACAGACCACAAGTAATGTGGTAAGGGGAGCACAGTTGGTAATAATGGCTGCCTCTGAAAGATGATGTGGTGAAGCAGAGGAGAGGATGCGTTCTGAGAATTGCACAGAGAGGGGCTGAATGAAAGGGATAAATTAAAAACGAAGACACGTGGATGAGAAAGAGGAGGAGGAGGGGGGTGAGGATGGATGGAGGAAAAGCAGGAAGTGAGGGAGAGGTGGTATGAGGAGAGATCAAAAGGAAGTTGTTCACTGCCTTCATCTCTCACCTCGGGCTGTAAAACCAGCCACAGCAAATCACACCAGCCTCACACAGACGTGTTCAGATTGAGCTGCTGTTTTAATCCTCCTCTTCCTCTCCTCAGTCCATTAGCCATAAAGCTGCCCTCTGATGAGATACAAGACAATGAAGATGACAAATGTCTGTCTGAGTGGAAATTCAACCCCATCTGTATATCAACTATTTTAACCGAGAGCAGGGCCAACCAGGATGATGATACATATTTCTTCATCAGTTTTAAAAACGTATTGTGCCATATAATCAGATACAAAACAATACAATATCATTTCATATTATAAAATTATGATTTTTACAAAAAAAGTCTAAACTATGAGAATAAAGTGTTAATTTTAAACAACCAAACATAAAAAGTAAAACCTTTCACTGTATGAAGTCATGATCACCTCATAACTCACTGGAATTTAAGTAATCATGAGTGTTATGGAAGTTTTCTGGAGGCTGGTGAAAGGAGAACAGCAGCTGATGTCTAATGCAGAAGATTTTAATATAGACTTGATGCATCAAGGAGACCAGACAGTGGAACAATATACAAACGCTCAGAGTAACATGAGCAATTATCACCCCCAAGTCTGAAGATGTCTCCCACAGCATCCCCATATATCTTCCTCTACCTGCCTCACCCATTTCAACAGCACATCAATGAATGGCTAGAATTGCTGTTACCCTCTATGTTACATGTAGGTGTTCACATCCTATTGAATACTGGTTTAATACGTAAAAGAGTTGAGGTTGGTGCCTCTCTGTCTGGGGCATCTGAGTTAGATATTAAAGTCGCCAAGTGTCGACACTACAATGCACTGTTGGTCCTTTATCTATAACCTGACCTTGTGTACTGCTTAGAGAAAGAAGGGAGTATCTGTGGAATTAGCCAGGCACTCTTCTTAGTGGTGTACATGTATAATGTAATATACATTATATATACACATAATACAGAAAATGGTGGCATGTACAGTAATGTGTGAGGATATACAAAAATTCCTCAAAAATGTGCAGATCCGAAACCTGAGCTGATGCTGTATTGATTAGATAGATGACATGTAAATATTCTGTAACGAGAGTTCTGCTCGACTGCAGCTTAAATATTGTGGATAAATCGGCATCAGCATCTTCACAATCTAACACAAATATGTGACTTTTCTTTTGCATTTCTATTTTATAAAACTTTCTTTCACCACCCTTAAGGCCAAACTTCTTATTTGCAGTGGAATAACTTAAATTAAAGCCAAATCAATCCTGCAGGTGCATTTATCTGCACGCAATCCTGCAAAATGTTTGGTGATATTACATCTGCAGATGACTTTAAAGAAAGATGACATATTTAAAAAGCCATTATCTAGAGGTCATGAATATGACTCGTGATAAGATGACTTACAAGAAAAAGAGCTTCGGATTAAATGTGAAGAAACACTATGTTTCAGATAAAAATGTTAGTGGCTGATGTAGGAATGACCCACAGATGGTAAATTAGTCAGCTTTCTAACTTGGATTTGATAAACCTGCTTCTCAATAGCAAATACTTATACATTTGTCATAATTCATTTTCCTGCAATGTGATTATTGTCATGCTAAATAACAAGTCGCAGCATTTAAACCTGAATCAACCCAGCAGATGCTCCATATGTCCCATGTTGCAGCTGGTGAATGTGCAGCCTTTAATGGTAATGTGTTTATTCTGAAGGTTATTTTGCCATCTGAGAGTTTGCCGTTATCAGATTGAGATGTGATAGTGAAATTACACCTCTTTATCTCTCTGAGACACAAGCAGAAAAAATAAGTGAGCCCAAGATTCAGTTCACTATCATTATTGGCTGTTGTGTAGTTTAATCCCACCACTTTTATTTCACCTATTTTTTGAAATGTACATCTCACCTATTGTACAAATATTTTTCATTTTATGTCAGACGTCAACACCAACTCTATATTGTTAGAAACAAGGGATGGGTCGTCAGTGCTGGGAATTGCCACTGAAAACAAGAACTTATCAGTGCAGACATGCTAACCCTCTTCCTTTCATGCCCATTATCTCAAGCTGCCTCCTTTCCCTTTCCTCTGCCTTCTTCTCCAGGCTGACAGAGCGAGACCACTCAGGCTGGTCAAGCTATCCACCCCCCCATTCTCTTCTTCCCACCACTGCTTCTCTGCTCCATCAATCTTCTGCTTCATGCACGACACTCGTCCTGCTTCTCTTCCAACTTCTCCCCCTTCCCTTTGTTATCCTCTCCCTTGGTAGCTCAGGCTCCCCACCGCCCTCCTAACTCAGAGCCACTACAGCGCTCTGTTGCCATGACAGCAAAGGTGATGTCGAAGCAAGAGATCAGCGAACCTGTTTTTCACCTCTTGTTTGTGCGCGTAAGCCGAAATAACAAGCACACATACAGTCCTCAGGTGGCTGAAGGATCTTGTTTGACTCGTTAGACGTCCATCTCAATGATAGACACCTCTTGTCTTCATACCGTTGCTATGGTAACTCATATGGATCCTTTACTTGATCTGTCATTGGTTGCAATGCTGCAGATGGTGTATATGAGGGGTGGAATATACAATTTTAACATTTGCCATTACAGGCAGAAAAGCTATTGGATGGATGATATGTCGACAGTGCTACACAGCAGCTCAACATGACACTGGTTAACCCAAAAACTAAAAGACCAGCCTTAAAAGACTAAAAGACATGAGACTTACTGAAAAATGATGTGTGAGTCCATGGTTGAGTCCAGTGGTTGTGGTTGGTCCAGACAAGTCTGCAATAACAGATGGTAGAGACATGTTAGACAGCATAGACTACAGCTTTAACTTAAAAAGTGACAATGTTGAATGTTATGGATATGAACAAAACCAGATTATGATTGCATAATTGTGCATGCTGCTGCACAAATAAATGTTCAACTTTTGTCACAAAGGTTTAGATTTCTAATAGCAAATGCTGCAATGGGTGTCCACCTGAAGTGGCTGCTCGTTTGTTTACATTTGTACAGCGGTTCAAATTAACAACACCCCAGACCTTTTCCTGAAGCCTTTTCTGACATGAACTTCAGAAATGTCCAGAACATTTGTAGACCTTTCCAAAGTTTACCTATAACATATGAAGAATTCTTAATATATTTTCTTGCTGTATTCACACGAGGGGCTAATTTGGGCATTTTCCGCACATTTTACTAGCAGTTCTAGCAGGAAAAGTTTTGGTAAACGTTTGAAGCAACTGGATCAGATGCTTACATTCTCACATATAGCCCCTCTGGAAAATTTCAGCTAGACATACATTATCTATCTAAGGTGAAGATGATTCAAGAATATGTGAGGTTGTGTAGAAGGTGTGGCCAACATTGGGGCGCTGACTTGGCCAGAATGTGCAGATTTTCATTTCAACCAAACAAAGGCAGTGGTTCCTCCTTGCAGGGCAATTAATCAGTGAGACCGCGTGCAGAAAGCCTGCAGACCTTCAGCCTTGCACAATGGCTGCCTATTCCAGATTAATGGTATATTCTAATGAGGCACTTCCATTGAGGGGTTATCTCACTGACAAATTAAATGTTGTGCAGTGAGGTTCTGTTTGCAACATGTTCCGGTCTCATAACTTAAATAGTGAATAAAACTCCCCAAAGCCACATTTTGCTCTCATTAACCACTGCACTGCAAGCCTCTCTCTCTAATGGATTCAACCCTGAACTAATGTTTTTCTCTGTGCTCTCACAACCTGACTAATAGGCAGGTTTCAGTACCCATTTAAATGAAGTAATTAGTTTGTGTGTTTTCTGTGTGACGGATGTTTATTGCTATTGTCATTTTAAAGTTTCATCATTTAAAGTTCAGAGTTGTTTGGAACATGCACTGAATTTGTTTTGAAATGGTATCGATCAGTCACACAATAGCTGTTTTTAGACTGACCTCCGTAGAATTAGGTCTGGACATTCTCCGTAGTTTGTCTTTCACACATTAACAAAGCAGCAGGAGATTCTCTGATTCTGTTCTCACATCGACTACTCTGAAATTTGTGGGGACTTTATACTAGGGGGCCAGATGGAGAAAGTCCACAGAAACTCTGGAGGCTCTCACTCTGACATTTGCGTTTACAAACTTGTCTAATTGTCTCCGAGTGAAGGTCATTGCCAGAATGACTCATCCCCTCCATCCCACAGTGCACTGGGGACAGATCTCTCCACAGACGGACGGTTTAAACAGGAGATAAATGAACACAGTAATCAGGGGTGATGAGGTGTGATCCCATCCAGGGAAATACAATAATGGGCATTATATAGAAGAAAACAGTATTGGTGGTTTGCAATTTTAACTCACAAGTGGATATCAACTTTTTTTCTGCTGTCATTTCTTTATCAATAAATGTCAGATACCAGGTGGCTGTTTGCAAACCCACATACATTAGCTATTCGCTGACTCATCTCACCGAGCCCTACACTAACTTTTCCCTCGCTCATCTTTCTCTATTCAGTCCCCTCTCAATCATCTATTTCATATCTCAGTATGTGTCATTCCTCTCAACCACCTCCCTCCACTCCTATCAGTCTGTCTGACACTTGTCTCACCTCCTCCCTCCAGCCATCTATCGACTTCCCCCTCACCTCCTCCCCTGTCTCACTATTAAAACTTTCCCCTCCTTTCTCATTCCCTCTGCACACGACTATTGTGCTTCAAGCTTCAGGTGTGATTAGTAAAATATAATATGCTACAGCTCAGACAGACCTGGGGCTGCAAGTTCATTAGAAAAGAGTAAGACCCAATTGTCGCCTGATATAAGTGCACATGTAACTGAGCCGTCCAAAGCATGTTAAAGATTAAACTGAAGAGTGAGAGGTGCTGCAAATCCAAATATCTGAAAATGCTGCTATAATGATGCAAGCTGGGAAACACTGACAACTGAAATGACAAAAACAATGAAACATTAGCAATCAAACTTTATAAAACACCTTTCAAACTAATCAGATGTTATTCAAAGTGCTTTAAGGGTGACTGAATAAACGTAAGATTCATTATGTTACCTTAAAGTTTTGTAGTTATATTAAAATACATTTAAACATTCAGATTCAGAGACTAATGCACACCAGGACTATTAATAAGAGAAAACTATGTAAGAAAGTTAAGAAAAAGTAAAAATGAAAAAAAAAAAAACAGCCTATATACACAATCAATAGAAATTGTCATGCATATAAACATTAAAACCATATAAAACACAATGAAAGAAAGAATAACCAGGTGGATTTTAACACAAGACATAACGTTTTCAGCACCGACATGAATTTTAGTAGTAGTAGTCTAATTAAATTATTTTTAACTTAAAACTAGCCTGCTACGTTAACTATGCTAGTAGGCTAGCACAATAGGCTGTTTGCTAACTTTACAATGCACAAAATCTACAAACTCTGAATGTCTTCGCTTGAGTATGTATTGGTGATGGTAGCTTTACACTTCATGTCCCTGCGACTCTTCTCTTTGACTGCCATAGACCAACGGCGCTACAAATATTCCCTGGCAAATGATTAGCTATTTGCTAAACCAGCCAGTAGCTTAGCGTTAGAGGTTTTATGAAAAGCTGGAGCCACTTACCTCAGCGGAATGTTCACCGACTTTAGATGAAACTCCTGGGATCAGGGTGCGCCTCGTTTCCACGTGGTTAAGTCCCGCTAACACAACTGCTAGCTAGCTGCTCCAGAAACTAAACATTTCACAAGCTAGCAGGCGGCTAACAAAGGAAATATAACAGCGCAATGACGGATGGGAAGTATGAGGCTGAGGGCATTTCAACAACTCCCGTATTCAAATTAGAAAAGACAAACTATAAGAATAAAATCTGTGAATCAGTAAATTCTGAGGTCATGAAGAGGGGATCCTCTGTGGGCACTTCCTGTAAACATGACCCTGACCCCCCGCATGTAATTAACATTCAAGCATCTAACTCTTTTATCATTTAAAAGAATTAAAAACAACAACTGTGGAATTGCTCGTCATTGTTAATGTGGCTTGGTTTAAAGAGCCCCTTTCACGATGTGAACCACTTCCTGACAGAAAGCCACGTGACAAACAGTCACGTGGCAGACATTGTCACATGGTTTATTTAAAGATACGTCTCTGTCTTGACAGTTCATTTGCAGTATATTTAATCAGAAGATCTAAACTAAGAACAAAGGCAGAAAACATGCAGGAAGAAACCTGAAGAGAAACACAGAGGAACAAGTTGAAAGAAAAACAGGCAATGAGGAGCAATCAGGAAGTGATCAAACACAGGTGAAACACTTGAGGGCCGGGACCCTTATATACAGTCTATGGCCGGGACTCAGACAAACACAGGGAGCAACACAACCGAAGACACACCAGGAAATAGATTTCAACGTAAAACAGGAACCTAAAAAACAAGCAAATGAAAAAGGCCTGTGAATCAAAGACAAATCCAAAGTCAGTTCAGCTCATACAGTCTATGGTTCAGCTGCAGGAGCTGAGGGAAGGGTGGATGGGAGGGATGATGCACGTGGTCCAGGTGTATTTGACTGCTTCACAGGATGACAGCTCAGGTTTAAAATAGAAGCTGCTGACCTGGTGGGTCAAAACCACAGAGAAAGAACAGAGCAACAGAACCTCCTGCTTCTCCAGAGGCTCCACCAGCGAACACATGACGCAACTTGGTGTAAGACTGGAGGCTGGAGGAGAGCTGGAAAGTGGGGCGACAGAGGCAGGATGTAGAGAGAGTTAAGAAAAAGATGTTCTGGATGAATGAGAGAGAAAAAAGGGGGGAGTAAGCATGCTGAGCCAGCTGCCCCCCCCCCCTCACTGAACCACTTAGCTGATATCAAATTCAGACATGGTGACATCATCCTGAGCACTTAGCCATTTAGCAGCCATTCTATCACCAGACTTGGAGAGGAGCCCGATGATGTCATGCCCAGGGGGCTGGAGGTGAGGACGCGTGCCCAAGTCAATGCCCAGTGTTTACTGAGGTGTCTTAAAATAGGCTTCTACCTCAGACAGAGCAATCCTGGAAGTGATTTTCTGCAGAGTGAAGCTGCTGCTGAGATCTTACAATATTCAGAAATTGATCTTAGCTTTAAAGGAACAAAATGATTTTTTTCCTAATACTGTGCAAAATATGCTTCACAACTAATATCTTAATGAGTGGAGGTGCTTCAGCTCTTTTCCTCTGATGATAATGTACTTCTTAATACACACACAAGCTGGGCTGCATCTTTCACAAAGGCCTCCATAGACCGAGAAGTCCTCGAAGGTGGATATGAGACAGTCTGGTCTTCGGAAGAATTCCTTCTTGGATCACCAGCTTGTGATAAGCAGCGATCCACCCACTGGAGTAGCCGGACGCCTTTGTCGGCCTTTGACAGACTAGTCACGCGACGCAATCAGCCTTCAAATGCAGCCTCGGAAGCGAGTGGCCCCTGAACTGGGACACAGTTTAAACGTCACATGTAGTCATGTGAAATAAAGACTGCAAATTCAGTTTACTTTTCTCAGAACTTGCCATATTTTATAGTAAGGTACATACATTTACATTTCAGCTGTCTTTGTGCTCACAGTAAGGGGGACAAAACACCTACAGTAAACATTATGTTGCTCTCGTGTTTCCAGAGCTAACACGCACACCCACACACTCACACTGTCGCCTCAGCACAATCAATCTCATATCGAAACACACACAGAAAATGCGTCCACAGTTACGATGCACTTAGTCTGTCCCGGGCTTTTCTCAAACCACCTAATTTAGGCTTTCCTGTAATGATCTATGAAATACCACTTATACTTACAAAATATGTTCAACAAATAAACCAGAAGAGTACAAAACAAAAAACGTAAATAAAAAGAATCTACATCCTTATGAAGAAAACATTATCATTACAAAATAAACTTTAATAATCAACATTTTTTACAGCATCGTCAGGTGTGGTTTTGATACGATGGACTAGGTTACTATGTACGGAAGGAAGAGCAGCAGAAAGAGAAGAAGAAGAAGAATCAGAAGAGGAAGAAAAAGAAGAAGAAGAGTAATAGTGACATTTAAGACATTCTGCACTGCACATGGTTAACGTGACAATTGCTTGTTGCCATGGAGATGATGTTGCATGTTACCAGGTGATTTTCGGTGAAAGTCTTTGGGATCCTTTAAAGCTATTGGGTTCCCCTTGTCATGCCCCGCCTTCCCCAGTGAACCCCAATAACTTCAAAGATAAGCAACTGAATGATTGATTGAATGACGACATCACGTTAAATGACCCTTTCCACAGCTTTAAAATCCCCTCCCCCTTATTTCCCACCCGCCCTCTCTGAAAGTCCAATGGGTACTGGCTAGCAAGACAAGTCCTGCACATCCTCATTCCATCCCTCTCGTAGATGGACCTGATAGGGTATCTACACCACGATCGTGGTGTTCTAATCCTCCGACAGGGCGTGCCACTTGGCGATCTGGCGGCGCGGGTGGTCACAGATCTCCCTCCAGTGCTCGCCAGGAGTTCCGGCTGCAGACGTGCCCAGCACCAGGCGCCCTAGGACGGTCTTGGGGCTGCGTGAGTTGCCTGTGTCTGAGTCCATCAGCAGCAGCTCCACGCTGGTGTCTCTCAGGCCCTCGTCGGAGGGCAGGTCAAAGACAAAAAGCTCATTGAAGACAGGGTTTGGGGAGCACTTCTTCACGTGGGTCTTCTTCTTGCAAACGCGCTTCTTTCCGTGATACATGTTCACCTTGACGTACGGATCTAGAGAGAAAGAATGACAAGCACGGATGAAGAAAGTCACACTGAAGAAGAAAAGGAATGGTGGATATCCAGCCCTGCTGTGTTTGCAGAGTGGCATATTATTCCTACACCAGATCAATACAGTGATCGATGGCGCGGAAGTGATGGATGATAGAAACGAGGACAAATGAGGCTGGTTGTGTAAACACTTTGTGTTCATGTGTGTGTATGTGTGTGTGTGTGTTGAGCTGTCTCTTAAGTGCTCTCTATCACATCCTGATCAGATTACTTATGTGCGGTGGCGTCATTATAGCAACTAGCATCCCAAGTAGTCTGAGAACAGGAAGAACAGAATAAACTTGGTCACATCTGTTTATTGCAATGGGAAGTAAGTGTGTGTTCACATGTACTGAGCTGGACAGCATTGTTGAAGTTTTAGTTAAAAGCATATGTACCTGTGGGTCCGTTGTTTTCAGTCTTCGGCAGGTGGCGAGCCTTGAGGACGACCACAGTCAGAGTGTTGGTGGTGGACTGGTAACACAGGGAGAGCAGTAACTCACCGCGGCCGGAGGACTTCTGTGGAAAGATGAACACTGAATGGTGAGAAAAAAAAACCTGCTGCCCCTCAACATCTTGATGTTCTTATAACCAATGAGTTTTCAGCAGTCGTGTCGACAATATATTTACATTAACAGTAGACATGGGTTGGACCACACCCATCTTTTAAGTCATCTAAACTATGGAACTATAGTGACTCCATCTTGCAAGGTTGCTACGCTGTTTTGGTATGACATGTGCTAGGCACAATGCACAGACACACACACAGATTTATAAGGTGAAAACGACACCAGCCTGGCTGTAGTGAGTGGTGATGCAGAAAGACATGGCAGGTGTGAAAGGAGACAGAAGTGAAGAGACATTCAGGTGTGAACTAGATTCGATACCAGGCCCCATCTCACATCCAAACACAAATGAAGAATCTGAGCATCAAGATTTCAAATGATCAAAACAATGAAATTAATTAGGAAAAAATGCAGTACTGGCAACCACTAACAAGTCTAAACATATTTATTTCTTGCATCTAAGAAGAAAGTTACTTAAGA